GAATGATTGCTGAGTGAGAAGGTTGAGGGGCTGAAGTTTGATATAGTAGCTGGAGGGAGTAATAGATTGTGTAATAGATTGTGCCAATGAAAGTTAAGATGCATTGATATGATAGTAGTTGATACTGTAGATTTGAATAAACTCTCAATTACTCGAATGAGTATATCCTCAGAAATTAAATTCTACCCATTCTTGAATTCCAATATCAATGTCGAGTTTAAAATTCAAAGTTCTCGAACAATTCCAATTCCAATTCCAATTCTACAGACCATCTCCATCTATCCTATCCCTTTTCGCTTTGATACCCACGTTCCCTCGCCTCCCCTCGCACGTCTCCCCTCACCGATCTATATCATACCATCCCATACCCTACCTCCCATATGGTTTATTCCCAAAACCCCTGATCGACAAGGAGGGGCAATCGCGTCGCAAGTGTACGAATCAATCATCTCTATCAGCGATATCCAAGAATCAAACTTCCCTGTGTGGTTTGATCAATGATGAAACTTGATATCAATCTTTTTGATAATATACGATATTGACAAAGACCTTCTATCCTCTTTCACCTGTGTGTTCATTCCATACGGTAATTAGAGAAAGTTTACCTATCCAGGTATCATCACTACGGAGTTTTCTCTCATCTGTGAAAGACCGTTCTTTGAGAATCCAAAGTTTAAATGTCACTCACTCACATCACCATCCCTAGATATTTCTCTAACATACTAAAGAAACTAAAGGTGGATCATCTTTTTGTTGTTGAAACTTTATTGAGGAAGGTTTTGAGTGATTTTTCTTGGGCCATTGGAAGATTGGAAGATTGGAAGATTGGAAGATTCGGGAATTTATTCATCAAGAAATTGATTGCATTTCGAATAAAGGGAAATAAAGGGGTTCGTTTTGAAATCTCTCTTTACGAATGGTGTATTCTGAGCTGGGCTGGGCTGGGCTGGGCTGGGCTGGGTATGGAACATGTGTCGTACTTTCTGATATGATTATTAGTCACGTATACGTATCTCGCTTTAGGTGGCAGGAGGAGTACGACAAAGGCACGAACGAAGGTAAGACTTATACACACGAAGGCAAAGAAGCTCCACATGAGTTTTGGGAAGTATCATCATGGTAGGTTACGTGCTCGTAATAGATCCGCATAAGAGTAAAGGATGATTCTATGATTGTAGATACTATCATCCTATCCAGACCGGTAGCAGTATTACATAAGCCAAGTACATACAAGTGAATACCTGGTAGTCATCCAAAGTATACGCCAGAGATAGAATAGGTACCCTAGAAAGGTAGGTAGGGAGCGAGGGTAGGTAACCAAGTAAAGTTTCCCAAGCCTTCTTCTCTTGTGGGATAATCATCTAAATTTAGGATAAAAGGGTGTACCAATCCATCTTTCCTTCGATTGCTTTCTTTCTTTCTCCCTGGGTGATTCGCCATCTTTACGTATGTTTACATGGGGACATGTGGTAATTGTAGGTAGGAATGGCAATGGTAATGGTAACGGGTAAGCTCTCATAAGATTTCCATTTCGACTGTCAAAGAGTGAAGTATGGGCTATGAAGTATGGGGTATGAAGTATGGGCTATGAAGCATGAGCTACAAGTATGAGCTACAAGTATGAGCTACAAGTATGAGCTACAAGTATGAGCTACAAGTATGAACTAGAGCTATAAGATCGGAGGCTTGGACTACCTACAGACTATGAATCATGAACCATGAACCATAAACCACATCGTAAACCGTAAACCATAAACCATTAAACTTTGATCTCTCAATTATAAACCCCCAACCACACACCCCCAACCATAATCTCTATCAACAACTTCAAACTTCCACTTTATACTTCATACTTCAAACTTCACAACCATCGGAATTTGACATGGAGGCTGTGTTAAGTTGGTTTTGGACTACTGTACGGCAAGGCAAGGTAAAAAAGGCTTGAGCCCACTCACCCACTCACCCACTCACCCACTCACCCACCCACTCACCCACTCACCCACTCACTCCCTCAGTGGCACTCACTCACCCACTTGCCCTGCCCACTCTTTACGATGTGTTGGAAAATGGACACTGGAATCTGGAAGCTAGAACCCACAAATAAGAATAATAAAAAGGTACCATACATTTACTAAATTGATTCAAATGGCGTGAACTTGGCATATACTGTTCACCCTAAACCTAATGCGGTAAGTTCTTGCATCAAGCATGGATCTTATTGAGAACATTCCTTTCTGGGATCATGACCTTCCATCAAGTAAATGAATGATGACATGTGATTGGTCCCTGGAATTCCTAGAATGATCTTGAATAAACCCCTTAACCGAACACCGTGTTCAATTGATAAAGAGGACAGATCTCCCACCTCGAATATTCCCATTTCCCTCACACACGCAATCCAATCTCTCTCTCTCTCTCTTCTCTCTACTCCAACTATCCTTGCTTGGAATCTTCCATCATCTTCTTACTTTTAATTCTTTGCTTCCATTCCTTAATTCTGATTCGTCCGCCGACCTGAATTAAGGCATCACAAGGCATCCATTGACTCATACCTTCCATCTCAAGTGGGCCATCCGTCCTCCTCATTATGGGCTTGTCCACATTTGACTCCCTCCACAATATCCTACATCTACAATAGTCATTCTCTGTGCATAAACCCATTTGGATTGTCCCTTTTCCTCTCCATCTCCATCATAGAACATCAATAAGAGATCCACTCAGGAACTCGAGAAGAACTAAGTTTCATCATCCACTTTGAGTTCGAGATCGAGGTCGTCATTATTCACATCAACCTCAACCTCACATACAACCAACCTACACAAACTATCATTCCACTAAAGATGTCGGCTCCAAAACTAAAATTTGAGTTATCACCAGCAGAATCCATCGCCGAATCTTTCACTTCAATACCTGGTCAACAATATCCTTCACTATTTCACACTGAAGGTAGTATGGAGCCACTACAAGCTATGACTCCACAATCTTTCGATGGCGATAGTATGTTTGGAGATGATATGGGTGAGGATATGGGTTTAACTGGAAGTCTTGCTGGTACACCTGCACCAGAAAAGAAACAAGTCAAGAAGAGAAAGTCTTGGGGTCAACAATTACCTGAACCCAAAACGAATCTCCCTCCAAGGTAATTTAATTCACTCATCATTCTTCACTCATCGCTTCATAACATTGGCTAATATCATCCAACAGAAAACGAGCAAAGACAGAAGATGAAAAGGAACAACGTCGAGTTGAAAGAGTTCTTCGAAATCGTCGAGCCGCTCAAACCTCGAGGGAAAGAAAGAGACAAGAAGTGGATAATCTTCAAGCAGAGAAAGATCAAATCGAACGTAGAAATACCGATTTGCAATTACAATTGGCAGATATGCAAGCTAGATATGAAGAAGTTCGTCGAAAGCTAGAAGAAGTCACCGGGATGACTGGCGAGAATATCACACCAGCATGCCTTCCCCCTTCATCCGTTACTTCAACTCCAAGTCGAAAAGAAAGTTTCGATGGACAATCCCCACTCGCCTTTACAAAACAATTATTCGGAATGGAAGAATCTGGATCAACAATGACACCAATTAGAGATAGTCACAACACTATGCAATCAGCAATTGGTACTGTTGATCTAGCTTCCGTTTCACCTCCACCACCTTCAATGGAATCAAATGAAGAGGACTCATTCAACCCCAGTTCTTTCGGTATGACACAACATTCTGCTGCAATGTTGTGCGACCTGCAGTGTCAACCGAAAGTACAAGGGCATTGGATGAGTACCACTCGGAATATTCTAATTTCACGGGTTTTGGTCAGTACACTATGGGTTCAAATGATGACTTCACCAGTCATCTCGAATATCCTGATTCCCTTGGTGCAGATCAAACTTTCTTTAATGAACGGATCGGTCCTATCGTCGACGCCTTCACTAATAACTTTGATAATTTGGTTACTGACAACAACGGCGCCACTAACGATGCCTTATTCGCGGACTTCATTCACCAAGACGAGATCACACCATCTGCGCCCGAAGTACACTCTTCGGATTCGATTGTTGAGGAGACTCTTAACCTGCAGTCCCAGCTTGGCGCGTCCTCTTCTGGATGCGACGCTGGAGACAATGCGGTTGTCGTCTAATCAGCAATCAGCTAGCGATTGTATGAACGGCGCACAGGTGTTTGATCTTCGTTACGGTGGTAAGTCTTCGAGTTTGGAATCTTTAATAACGTTGTCTTGGGCTATTAAAGTTATAATGAAGGAACAGGCCAAGGAACAGACGTCGACAATTTCAAAACCGGACGCGGTAATGAATGTTGAGCAGTCTTCTGGGAAGGATTTGTTTGAATTTAGAGAATTTAGTAAGGTTAGGGTGCATGGGAATTCTTCTGTGAAGGATAGCGATATATTTGGGGAAAAGTCCTTGGGCGGACATTGGAGTATGGCGTTGGAGGATGATCAATAAGTTGACTCATATCTCTTGAAATTAGCGATATCATAGGGTGGCTGGCGTGCTAGACCTTGTATCATCACCATTGTGCCAATACAAATATTGAACATTTGTTCACATTAATTTTTATCGTTCCATCCGTGAAGTTTGATTGACTGTGATTGTACTTGATGTAAAGACCTCTTGTTCCTTAGGGATGTCGCTCCGCTAGGCCACTACCGTGGGGGCCTTTCGCGCTTCGCTTGAAGAACCGAATGTAATGTATGTGAAGGACTTCCAACCTCATCAAGTATTCCATTAATGCTGCGCCAAAACCAATCATGAAAAAATCAAAGTATGCTATTTTGAAATCAAACTAACTGCTACCTATCTATCAATATTCCCGTCCATACTCCAGAAATTTCAACCCGAATCTATAACAATTGCTTTCTATCAATTTTCCAATGCTTTAAAAACTCCAGAAACTCCAAACTTCAGACTCCAAACTCCAAATCGGATTTATACATCTTTTGATGCGATTAGATGCGATGAGATGCGATGCGATGCGTATACCCAACTACCTCCTACTAGGAAATCTACATTCTTCCGTTCTAACTTCTTCAATGACTCTTCGTTTTGTAGTCTTCTTGACTGTTACTCCTCCTCCTCCTCTTCCTTCTTCGGGTACTGATGCGAGTGATTGTCCATATTTACTGCTACTTCCACCATGTTTAGTACTTCCACCATATTTAGTACTTCCACCATATTTAGTACTTCCACCTGTACTGCTTTTATCATCCCTACTTCCACCTGTACTGCTTCTACCATGCCTACTTCTACCGTCACTACTTCCCCCTGTACTGCTTCTACCTGTATTACTTGGCGGTCTCGCAGTCATTTCCGATTCGTGAGAGCTTGGGACCTCGCTGTGTCGATCCCGTCCACTTTCCCATCTCCTGGCTAATGCCAAATTTTCCGGGGGCTTACAATTGCTGATGCTATCAGATGGCGCTACAGAACAATCATCAAGAGCATCTCCTCTTCCCCTTCGTGCCCCACCTGGTCCATTCGGGTCACCGTAAACATCCAATCTGTAGTCTGGCTTTATGTCCGAATAATCATACAGTTGTATCTTTTTACCCCCCCTTTTGCTATCTCTAGAGACTGTTACTACGCTGTCAGAGTCGGTTCCCGGGACACGGGAGTATCTGGATCCAGGCATGATTTTTTGAATGAGAATATAAGAGACGAAAATGAGGGACTTCGGAATTACTGTGAAAAATGAATTGTGCGCGCTGCTGATCTTTCTTATTATGACTTTTCAGGGTAAAAGATTGATGGATATATATAGGTAGCATTTTGAATCTATATATCTGCCTGATATAATGGTCACTTCTCGGTACAGAAAAGGGGTCGAGAAATCTGGACCGAGACCCGGAGGGGAATATTGCCTAGACGGTAACCCCTGGGTGACCCAATCCAACGATAATTTTGGCGACATATCATGGAAGTAACATGAGGCTGAGAGGTTTGTTTAGATCCGTAATAGCCATTTCGTCCAAATAGGTCGAAAAATGAGGCATTGAAAAGTTTCAAGAGTTGCCTCGCAACAATTTATGAATTAAATCAACCAACAAAGGGGACATCGAGAAATATTGACTCGTTACTTACTGATATTGGACCTCACTCTCATTTCATATACGTTTCAAACACTCCGCCAGGCCTGCATCGTGGTGCCTTCATCGCTTTGCTCTAGGTACCTAGAAGATAACGTTTCAGCGGAGCGATATGAAGGGGGATAAATTTCCAGGTTGGATTCTACCTATTTGGTGTGAACGTTAATAAAGAAAATCTTTTCAGTTGTACGATACAAAAAATTCATGTATGAATAGTGGTAGAGTGGTAGGGCGAATTGTTTTTTATTTTAATTGAAACAGACAGTGTGCAATATGGTGAGAAAGGAAAATGTGAAAAGAAAATGATGAATGATGAGAAGAATTGAATTAGGGAAGCAAGCAATTGAAGACAACGGGGGAAAGTATTATCAACAGAGTGGATAAGATGAGGTAACTAAAAGTTCTCTGGTAATCCGACAACTTAATCTCTGCACAAATAACAAAATGGGGTGAGAGTTCCCCTATCCTACGGCGCAGGTTAGAATCATTGGCACTTCGAGACCTGCACTGTTATGCAGATCGATAAATAAACAATTGGATAGAGGGATGGATGAACGACTGAATGGATGAATGAATGAATGTCAGATAGATAGATATATGTGAGTGGAGGCCAAATAAATGATAGTTATGTAAATTCCCTCCTCTACTTCAATACGCAAGGAACGACGAGGTAGAAGTGCAGAACAAATTGTCAATTCGATTCATTATGAATCAATACTTCCCCAATAACCACAGATATAACAGCAGAGCTGTCTTTCATAACCAATATAAGCTTTCCAGTGGACCAGTAGATAGATATTCGAGATTCTCATGTCGATGAGTCGAAATTATACCAAATTCTCAGGGGTTTGTCTATTTCCGTCGTCTCTGAGAATAATTCGATGAGCATCATTTTGTCCTGGGAATTCCTCTCGATTCTCATCGCTTTCTCTGTGGAAGTGAAATTTGAGCATAAAAGTTTGGTTTTGAACCGGTAATGCTATGATGTATTGTATGGCCCTGAAAGAAAATATTAGAAAAATGTATCCCCAAAAACATTGTTGATAACTTACATGGCGAAAAAGGCGATTACAATCCCATCAACCACTAGATAATTTTCATAACTAGTCGCCATCCCACCAATCGTTGAAGATGCTAAACCACTAGCCAACAAGAAATCCACAACATTTGTAGCTTTAGCTCCATTTGGTCTAACAGATAATTTACTCTGCCATGAACCACGACTAATTTCAACAGTGACATGAAAGACTGATGAAACAAATGTATGTAGGATTCGAACGGTATTAAAGATCAAACTGAGCATGAGAAAGACATCGGCACCGATATACTTTTCATAACCATAGGTAACGAACAGTGCGAAAGCGGCTGATCCGAATGCGAGGTTCATGAGTCGGAGAATAAGGACATAGTTGATGGTGACAGTACGACTCTTGGAGGTACGAGGAGAATATTCCTCAGATGTTCGATATCCATCCGAACTTGGGGCAATGTATCGATCCGAATCCGTGGATTCTCGAGGGAGGGGTGAATAATCTGGGGAACCCATGATTGGAAATGAAGGGTTTGTTATTGATGTTGTAATTCTATAGTTTGACGAAAATGTGAATGTATAGAACGAACGAAAAGAATGAACGAGAAATACTACATGGAAATCAAGGACATTTGGGTAATAAGCAAACAAAACAATGCGATTTCCAATCCACGTATCCAACTCTTATGTAAACAAAAAGCAAGGTATCTATCAAAGCGCTTCGTGTATGAAAGGCGGCGTATGAAACTGGATACGGGAATTTCCAAATCGCTTCCACAAATCAAACAGATTAACTCGGCCACTCAACCTTAAATCTCAATGATCTGTTGCAAGTGTCATATATATATCAAAGATTATTGGCTGGAATACTCGCTTGAGTCCCATCTTGCATATACCCAGCCTTAGGGAGCATTTAAAATGCATATTTTTGTACCAAATTGGCCGGGACTGCAGAGCATAGCCACGTTAATGGGTTCACTGTGACGGCTGCTAGGAGACACTCGAGGATGAACCATATAATGAAAGATGAATGCCTAATTGACCATCAAGTCGATAAGATAAGTATCCTTGAATGTTTTAGATGGGTGACATACCGGCCCAACCTCTTTCGCTGATACTCGTGAGAAGTCTTCGGGGCGTCGTAGACGTTCTATCTTGATAGGTACTTTATGCTCAGTGATTACCACCCGTATCTTCTATCGATCTCAGATTGCGCCCATTTTTTGTGTCTGCCTCGAGATGATATCAACTAAACAGATTGAATGCATGAATAGTTCATTAATGATGCGTATGTCTTTTTGAGATGACTAGGGGAATTGGATCTTTGATAGAAAGACAAGAGAATCAAAGATAGGTAGTTATGAAATGATGGATTAAGAATATGGGGATCTTTCCTGTCAGTAAAGTTGGTGGGCTCGGTGGGGTATACCTTAAGTCAAGTGGACGGCAAGCATGAAAGGTTAGCGTGTATTACATAACATTCTATCATCTATCCAGGTACCTAGGTACGAATGGTTGTTCTAATGCCTCAAGAACATCATTGACGAATATGTATTTGATTCAAACTCACACAGATCTACTCCTCATACCTAATCACAACACGATATCCAAGCACCAGAAACAAGTAAATTCGCAAGCCCCATTTCAACCATCACATATTGAGTTTCTTCACATCGAGTTTCTAAGTTTCTCTCCCTCCTACAGAGAACTTGATGGTATTCCCTCTTCTCTTCCTCACCAGTCACTATTCTTCGAGATAAATTCTTGAACGCCTACCCCTCATTTCTGCTCTTTTGAACACACCATGTCCCCCCAGCCCTCTGCCACCCCTTGAAACCCCGCCTCGCAACTTTAACCCCAAAATCAACCCCAAAATCAACACCGTTACCTACCTACTACCCTCTACCACCTACCCACAATCTTAAGCACCCCCGCAAACTCTCATTCCGATACCATAGTATCATAGTATCACAGTACATCCAGCATCCAGCATCCAGCACCCATCAACCCAAGAGATTCAACTTGAATCTCCCTTCCTTACCACCATCTTCCTCTCCTCCAAGTTCTCGAAATCATTCCTTTCCGCTCTTCCATTCTCTCCCACTACTACCAGCCTCTCAAACTCTACCTTCCTTTCCTTCCCTTTCCCCCACTTCCACCTTCTTCATGGGGGCAAGCCCCCAAACCCCCTTTAGCTCGCTACGCTCGATTCCCGAATCCCAACCATTATTCTCTACTATTCATAGTCCTAATCCTAGTCTACCCCCACAGCAGTGGCCCCCGTAGGGCCAGCGGAGCGTCATTTACTCCCCTTTAACTTTCCCTGCATGCATACATTAATAGATATATGAGCTCTACGGAATGTAGGTATCAATAGAAATTCAGGAGTTCCTCATAATTCTATACACGAGCAAGTTGGTGCGCATTGCAAGTGACAGTAGCAACGCCAATGTAGATTCATCTATAGTGATCTAAAAGAATTTCCTTCCCTCCTTCATCCATCCATCCATCATTCATAATAAAAAAGAGCTCATTCCAGTATTCATCTAGGTATTCGTTTGCTTTCATTCGTTCGTTCATTTGCTCGCTCGCTCGCTCGCCTTCCATCGACCATTCATCTCTCCATGTATATGCCCCTTACTCATCCGCCACGTCGCTTCCCCATTCTAACCATCATTCCATCTACAAAATTGTGCCGAAGCTATATTATTAATAAGATTAGCATGCGTCGCAGTATAAATCCCCCAAGAAATCCAAAGAAACTTACCCAAAAGTCTGTTTGATGCTTCTAACATAATATTCACTCCAATTTCTCTTTGTAACTTCTTCTTGACCAACTGGAACACCAGACCAAGAAACTCTCATAACCGTAACATTATCAACATCATTTTGATCAAAGTTAATCTCTAATCTAGAGAAATGTCCTTGTGGCCATTGATCAAGTCTCCAACTTTGTACGATTTTTGTTGGTTCAACAAGTTCAAGGTATTCACCAGAAACATTTCCTCCAAAAAGTTCGAATTTTCCTCCCTTCTTTGCACCTTCAAATAATTTTGGAGCGGCGCGTGTGAATGCGGCAATTCGAGAAGGATCGGTAAATGTTTGATAGAGTTCTGAAGCTGGAGCTCTGAATTCTTCATTATCGGTAACAGTAGTTGTATTGACTAAAGAAGAACCTTTGTTGGTAGATGTGCTTGTAGATTGAGCTGGAGCATTGTGAGGATATGTCTTTGCGGCTGTGATTTTGGCAGCTGGATTCGCATCTGGAGCATGTTGAATATCCTTTCCATGTTCTGTAATGAGAGCAGGACCTAATTGAGCGAATCGTTTTCGAAGTTGTGGAATGACCTTTGCACGAAGAAGATCCTTGACTGGAGCTTTGGAATTGGCATCGGAATAAATATCTATGTCAAACTAAAAGATCACCATTAGACAATTCGTCCCAAGTGTTCATTCAGGAGACGATTCAAACATACAACATACTCATTTTCTTCTGTATCATGAGCAACTTCAGGAACTGTGATGGTACCACTAACGGATTCATCATCTTTGGTTTTGCCTAGTCCAATTAGACAGAAATTCATAATATTGACTATAACTACAGGGCATACCTGAATACTCAATAACGAGCTTGACATCAAATATGGTAATGACCTTTCCCTTTCGTTGATTGACATCAACATCTCCATCCATACTAATCAATTTATCCAATTGAGCAGTAACACCATCCTCCTCTGCTTTAACCTCCTTTATGCTATCCTCCAACCATTGTTTTGCCCATGTTGAAGCATCTTTGTTTACCCAATGCCAATTGTTTGGGTTGTGAAGAACCATATTGATTGAAGTTTGATTGAAAGTTTTGTTGTTTTAAAGAATCTGCCAAAATTGACTGTCAGCAACATGCATTTATAACGAATGTGAAGATTTTTCAATATGTGAATGAAAGGTTTTTTTGTTCAGAAGGAGGCCCGAAGGCCATAGCATTGTCTTCAAAGATATGAGTACAAATCGACTCTGACTGGTGCCAGCTTGTGTCTCATCATAAAAAAAGGAAGGGGTTTGGAGAAGAGATCTCTGTAGTGAGAGCTTTTGCAACATACCTTTAATTTGTAGAAGAAAGGAATTAAATGTAGATAATTATTAAGAAAAGCAACACAATCAAACTTGCAAAGTTTATATGTTTGTAGATTGAAGAAAGAAGGGGGTATTTAAGTAGAAGTAGAAGAGTTGTTGAGATGGTGGGAAATGAGGCAGAAGTAAGAAATTATTTTGAAGAAATCAAAAGAATGAATTGGAAGTTTTGAGGACAAGAAGAGGTTCAAAGTCAGTGGGGCTAAATTCTAATATGGTGTAGTGTGGAAATTGTGATGCCTTAGGAAAGATGAGAAATGTAAGGCATCTACCTAGATAGGTAGGTAATGTTACAACTTACCTACAACTTGAAAATCGAAGTCGATATTTGAATCGACGAATGCCCTCATCTATCTACCTACCTAATATGCACGGTAGGAATACTTGAAGAACTTGCGATGACAAGTATCGAATAGTCACTGGCAGCGTTATGTGTACTTCCCAAGAAAGACAGGGTATCAGGGTATCCTCATACCAGTAGGAATTTCTTGAAACCATTCCATCCACTCTCACAGATCTAGAGTGCGCGCACAAGCCTCAAGAGAAAGAAGTCGTCAGCTAGCAATGGTCGGCTCTCTACTCTTACCTAGTAATTATCATTTGGGGCTCAACCGCCCAGATCATATCAATTTCGAGAGTCCGGGAACGAACAACCGGGATCCAGATGAATATATATCTTCGAAAAGTTTTCCTCGGTGATCAACTCAGCAGCGGTTACTGAGTATTCCGATTTTCATCTCTTGGATTTGAATTTGAAGCGTCATGTGAGTATTCCATCATATGATCAGCTAATCAAGCCAGCCTTATTACCTTGGCTCGATTGGCAACCGGAACGGATCTTGTTGGTGTAGGTTTTCTTTCTATCGAATGGAGAGCGGCTTCTACCAAAGCCGGCGCTTACAATTAGTTTCCGTCCGGGAGTTTGTACAGATGTGTAGGTAGTTTCGTATTGAGATGAACTGTATGAACCGCATGGATTGTATGAGATTTGATATTGTAGGTATTGTTCAAGAAGTAGAGGGATATTACTTTGTTAGAAAAAAAGAACTCGATTCCAGGTTTGTTGGATTCGTCATAATATGAAAAAGGACGATCACGGCTTTTATATATATCATCCAGTATCTTTATCGTGTGTCTCACCTAATACCTACCCACCTACCAGTACAAAGATACGTAATAATCGCGTAGGTCAAGAGAATTTCATAGTCATAGAGTACCTAACCATACTAACCCAAGTCCCCCTTTCCGCAAGCGATGAAGATTTTCCCGTATGAAGTTGAGTCAAGTATCAAATCTTCACAAATACCGGTAATGTTTTCGTGTCCAAGGGTCGATGTTTGTGGCTGCGAACGTCATATTTGATTTACCCTTGTTACATTCAGCCACTCATGCTTCAAGAATGGAAGAGGGACCAACCAACACAACCTGGAAGGGCATGGAAGAAGCGGAACGGAAGGGATGCACGTCAAGAGACAAAGCGTGATCATTTTAACTTTTATAGATCTACGAGGACAGTAGCTTAAGATGGATGAAGACTCCGGTTATTGATGTACAGTGAGGTAGAAAGGTAAGGTTTTTATTTCTTTAATAGAGATTTTGATTATATGTATCAATGAGGTAGATAGATAGGTATGTACCCGTATTGATAAGATAGATAGATAGATCTTAGTTAGATGACACAAGATCATTCCCGTTCTCTCACAGTATGAATGATGAATGATGAAGCTAACATTAAAACCAACACCTCAATGATCAATCAAGCCTTTAAACATCAAAAAGCTTAACGATTATACTTTTACCCATCCGAGTTACCGGACTCTCTCCCTCCCTCAAACTCACACATTCGGTAACACCGATACTAATGGAAATACTCACAACGAAGACTCATGATTCCGCCGGGATGAAAACATCAAGAGTGAAACCCGGAGGTAGCTGGGTAGATACACACTCAACAGGAACTCCGTCTAACCTCTCATCAATCCGTTTTCATATCTTGGCGTCTCTCGGAAGTGATACATTAATCCAAATTCGGTCTTAGACATCTACATATCTTCTGTCTCTCTCTCTCTTTACCTGTCTCGCCTGTAACCCTTCATTCAACTCCTGCCACCGATACGGACATGCCAAACCACCCACCCATGACGTAGTTCACGAACCCTTCCAATCCACCCCCTCAAACCAAAAAAATAAAAATAAAAGGATTATCATCATAATTCCCTACCAAGAAAGAACACAAACACCAAGCGTCTTTAGCAGTTAGTAGTTTAGTTGCTTCATAATCCATCAAGCTTTCGTTTTACATTTCTACTGCATTTTTCTTTCTTCTCTTCCCTTCTCTTTCTCTCTTCTCTTTATTAATTAAGATATCTCCTTATCTTTTCGTCTCAAGTTTTGCTTCAATCGCTTTAAGATTCAATTGTTCTTCAATAACTAATCATATTGAAATCATCCTTTGTTGCTTTAACAAACTCTATTGACAATCTTCACTATCATCATCATCATCATCATCATTATCATCATCATTATCTTTAACACGACATACTAGGTAGATACGGTACCTCTTCATAGCAAAGAAAAGCAGAACTTGTTTCTCGAAATACAATCTACTACATTACCACAACTACACTACACTACCATCCAATTCCTCAATTCCCAAAACTCACCAAGAAGTCCAAATTCCCATCCTTCAAAATGGCAATTATCTGGGGTCTCGATCTCCGGGATATGCAATGGGGAAAGTTCAAGGGAGCTTATATGTTCAACCACGTCTATCATCTTCGCAAAACCAAGATGATTGTGTATCAAATCGCCATGATTCTATGTGTGTGTTCGGAATCTGTTGGAACGGCGGCTCTAAGTGGTAAGCATCCTTCTCTCTTCTCATCCTTCCCGCATCAACTCTCATGTCATCCAAAAATAAATGTACTATACTAATATTCACACTCAATTTTCAGATTACGTCGATCAACGAGATGGCATTAAATCACGTTACGGATATCATACATCAGTCCGAGACATCGTGGGGATTTTCTCCTTCAATATCTTTGTCGGTATAGCCGTCGCAACCATTTTTGGTTCCGGCTTCTTCTTCGATCTCTTCTGGCCCCAACGTCATGAATCCATCGCAGTTAAGAAAGCATGGAAGATTTGTTCGGTCTTGATGTGTTTCCTTACTTTCGCAGATGCTATTGCTCTCACCGTATGTTGATGTCTTGATACCATCTCACCTCTTCTACTCTTTCGCTAACCATTTCCGTACAGGTCATTGTAGCCACCCAACGCGCAACGATCGATGGATTAACAAACTCCGAAGCACAACAATATTTCGACTTGAACGGTCCCCCAAATCCTATCTACCGCAAAAACGCATATTGTGTTGCTTCCGTCGTCCTTCTGTGGCTTGGTATGCTAGGCACGATTGCTAGGTTAGCTCCTCCCACTATAAGTATCACTCAAACCACCAACTAATACAATTTCCAGTACATATATCATGTGGAAATCACTTGCGCACGACAAGGTTCATGGACCATTTGCCAGCAATTTTGGACCCAAAGATGAACCATGGCAAATCCACACCAAATCCGCCGCCATTGATACCAAAAGTCCATCCATGGCCGAATCGGGTATTGCTGAGCAACCAATCGCTACCGCCAATGCTCCAGCAGTGGCTCAACCAACTCATGGACATCAAACCGTTCATCACACAACTTAAGATCCATTGATCTACATAGTCCAACAACCCTAAATATGCGAAACACAAAACGAGAACCCAGAGGAGGAGAAACAGAAGCGGAGCAACATTTATACCCCACAGCACAATATTGAATGAATTCAATATTCTTTTTGGAAAGGAAATGAAATGAAATGACAGGAAAGGAAAGGGAAGAACAGTTATGTTGTATTACGTCACGCATGCAGAAGGAAATAAATGATACCAGGCATGGAATTGGAGTTGGGGGGGTTTCTTTGATATTAATCACTTTGATTTATGAACTCACATACCTACCTACCTACCTAGGTCAAGGGAGGATAGTTCATGGTAATGAAAAGCGTGCATAATTACTTCCACTTTTTCTTCTTTTTCGAAAAGAATGCTTTGGACTTGCTGTGACTGTGACATAATTTGATCGATGGTAAGATCTTACATTGGAGTACTTCTGTATTTGTTCGTATTTGCCCTGGCACTCGCCCTGTGACTAATTGAACATACCTACATGGGGATAATTTTTAAACAGGCCACCACCACACACGCTATAAAAAACCCAACGGATCAAAATGATTAACGTAACGTATAATTTGATCATCTTATTCATTAACTGATTGACTGATTGGATTGTATGTAATGACTTTTTTCCTCGCCTAGCAACCCCCCTTACACCTCCACCCCTGAGCAATGCTTTGCCGAATTTAATATCATAAAATAGACATACAACTTGCACTAGCCCCTGTTCAAGCTCAAGTCATGCGCTTGAAATCAATTGCATTTCGTATCTTTAATATTGTCTTCCTGGCCCCCTCTCTCCCCTCCTCCATCCCCAAAAAATCATCGCAAGGAATCGGGATCGGTGAGACATGCGTGCGTGGACGCGCGTGGTATGTATGATGTGAACAGATCCATCCTATGCCATATTATTTCCTTGTACGGTCCTATTCTTATCCACACTCAACTCCCTAACCTCCCGACTTTCACCCTCCACCTAGGCATAAAATTTGTGTGGTTGCATCATTCCTTACCCCTCTTTCCCTCCCTGCCTCCTTAACCCCTCAGGGAAGAAAGACCTAGCCAGACATCAGAGTCCAGCGTAGCTTATACTACTATATGTATAGAGATAGCCTACACCATAAGTTGAATTCGCTTGTACCTCACAACCGCTGCTGAGGGAAAAAAGGAAAGAGCACATCGGAAAGACGAGACGAGACGAGACGAAAAAATGAACTTTAACTAAAATCAAGGGAATTCGTAAAAAAGGGGAAAGAAAAGAACGAATTCCTCGCTATGCATAGAAAGAAATTATATGCACCAATTTGACCACCCGTCCTTTCAAGCCAAAACGCCCCGATTGAGGAATTGAACCCCAAAACGTATACTTTGAAGAAATATAATGTGAAGATAACAACTGAATAAACTAGGGTATACCTCCCATCCATTTCCCCCTTCCCATTTCCCAATGAGAATGATGATTATTTCATGAATATGAGTAATTCTGTTTCATACATTCTCGGGTTTAAGTTTCATTAGACGTCATTTAAATTTCATACATTCGTTTATGCGTTTGCATTATCAGCAACTTCGACTATTCTTCCGGTTTCGTCGATGCTGGGTAATAGAATACGATGACCGCGTTCGGATTTTGGAACACCGTCTCGTGATGCACCAAAGTCGAGGACCTATTGAAATTATTAGTAAAGAGACAAATGGAGATTTGGAAGTGAATAAATACTAACCTCGACAAATGTGAAATTATCACGTTGTACGGCTGCAACACATCTTCTTTCATCAAATTTGACTTGCCACACACCACTCAAGTCACCTAAGAGGTCCTTGATACATTCACCAGTTTTGACATCCCACATTTTCAAAGTACGATCTGATCCAGAGATAACCTTTTGTCCATCGTGTTGAAAACATGTAATGGCACCTGTATGTGCACTCAAAGTACTCTTGCATACACCACTTTCTGGATCCCAAATTCGTAATGTTGAATCTGCAGCTGCCGAGACAAGACGTTCATCACGTAAGTCCAAGAGACCAACAAGGGAGGTATGGCCTTCAAGTGTGAATAAACAAGAACCAGTCTCAAGACACCAAACCTTGACATATGTATCCATAGAACCACTGATACATCTATTGCGTTTATGATCTAAAACAACACTATAGACTTTTGCAGTATGTCCTGTTAAACGATACAAAACTTCACCTGTTGAGATCTTCCATACTCTCACTGAACAGTCGTAACTACCGCTTACTAAAGTATCTTGATGAGCAGCGATAGCACGAACTGAATGAGTATGTCCAGCTAATACGCGAACAAAGTAAGGGCAATCAGCATCATTAGTTGGTGGTCCAGTTTGAATGTATCGCTTATCTCCTTGGGCTGGTAATTTCCATACGCGTAATTGAGAATCACGAGAACCGGTAATGATAAGAGGTTGCTCAGGAACCATAATAGATTGACCACTTGCTGTCTTTCCTGTTTCTGATGGCATGAGGATTTGTAAACATCGTACAGTTGAAGTATGACCATGAAAGACTTGAGTGCAAAGACCTTTTTCAATATCCCAAACGCGTACTGAACGATCAGTGGATCCAGAAACAAGAACATTTCCTTCATATTGTAAAGCCCAAACACCTCCTTCATGTCCTTCAAGTTTTTTTCGTAGAGCTCCAGTTTTAGTATCGTAGACATGAATACATGTATCATCACTACCTGTCAAGATCTTTTCATCATCAAATTGAAGACATGTGATTACATGAGATGGATGAGCTTTGAAAGCCATGTGATGAGGTTCAACAGAACGATTTGTCCAGCTATGTCGAAGAAGAAAGTGTCGGCGATAAAGAGATTTAAAGAGATGAAGTTTTCGTAATCCTGGCAAACCTAATTCGGGATTTGGTACCGCCAATGCAGCAGCAGAAGCAGCGCTTAGTGGACCTTCAGATTTATGAAATCTCGATGCTGGTTCTAATACTTTGGTTGAAACATCATTACCTGTCGCTCTTCTCTTCGCGCGTTCCGATCCCGAATTTCCAGTAGTTCGCTTTCTTTTAATGGTAGCCCGAGGTCTTCTTAGTGAATCAATCTTGCTGCTACTACCAGGCGTGGTTACTTCCACATTGAGTGGTTTGTCTTTACTACTCAAATCCATTTCGTAACCATCCGGTCCATAAGGATCTTGCCATGCCCAACCCTGTCGTATTGCCCGCTCGAGTTCTTCTGGTTGAAGTGTGAAACCATCACGATCAAGCAGTTCTTTCCATCCAGTCTCGTTCGAGTCAATAACATTTCTCCAACGCTTCGAAACTTGTGCGGCACGACAAAGGTCTTTATGGTCCAGGTAACTTAAGATATGTAGGCTTAATTCAGCAGGAAGTTCATCAAGGAAATCGCACATCAAAGCAGGATTTACAAAACCCGCAACAGCCCGTAAGGTTTTCTTGGAGCACCTTCTACTAAGCTGATACATCACTAGGGCCTTCAATTCGCTTGGCATCGCATCGAAAGTATCCAGCATAGAACCAATCTCCATGACGGTAGATATCTGTGAATGTAAACCTGTAGGTTTGACATGCCGATCCCGAGTCGTACTTGACTGAGCTACCTGAATAGCGTACTCATCTAATGTCTCCTGACTGTCGCCTGTATCATCGTTGTCAAATTCTGGAGAGGTTGGAGTAGGCGAAAGACCAGGACTAGGTAGGCTTGCGTTTTGAGCAATTGCAGTATTCAAATGTGGGCGCTGGCCTTGTGCGAAGTTTGTATTAAGACCGGACGACTCAAGATCAGATTCTGCAATTGGTGGTGTAGCAACTGCGTTATTAAACGTTTCTTCACTGGCGGTTTCCGAATGACTTTCTGAATTCTCGAACGAATCGTTTTGGCTTAGACCGGATTGAGGGGTGTATGCATTGGTTGGAAATCGAGAGCTTGATGAGGGAACAACTCTTGAAGATAACTCTATTTCGGACAAATCAGGAGTTACTGGCAATTCAGGTAAGTGCATACCAAGACCAAGGTTCCGACGTCGGATTTCGGGTTGAGCAGTCGAGCCTACATTTTTAACCTCATTATTGGGAACTTCTGGTGCTTGTGAACTGCTGGGTCTGCTGGCGGGTCGATAGTCGGATGTTCCTTTCGATTTCGAACACCTTCTTCTCAAGTTGCTACTTTCTGCATCCAGCTTAATCATTCTTTCTGTTCTAGCCAATCCATCTTTGAACTGTTCACGATTCTCTTTTGATCGACAGCGCGAAAGGGAATTGTGAAGAGATTCGATTTGTGAATTCTGGAGATTTTCAAAGATTAGTAATGTAGATCTCAAAAAAGCGTACAGGAAAATGAAAATGTTCGAACCTCGTGCATAATACTTCGTAAATTGTCTTCCTCATACTCCATTTGTCGTCCATCAATTTCGTATGAAAACCTAGTAAGTTCAGCAGGAGTTGGTTTGAATGCCAAAGGATATTCCTTTGCGTCAAGGCTATCGAGTGGTCGAGGATTTTGGAAGAGTAGTGGAGGATATGATCGCTTGGTTGTAGTGGTTGTGGTAACGGTTTTCGTTTCTATAATATCTTCCAACTCAACTTGCAATCTCGATGCATGTCCCACTGTATCGTCTCCATCTTGCCATCCTAGAGAAACGGTCTGACTTGGATGTCGAGTCTCGACACTATGCTGCAACAACTTCGAATTCGAAATGAACGGACTCGGAGAGGCGTCTGATTTGAATTTTGGTGTTCCAGGCATTTGACTACTTTGGGAAAGGGTTCGATGTTTACTCTGAGGTCTATGGGGAGGATCCATTTCGTTGGAATTCGAGTGCTCAGATGAGTTCGAGACTTTAAGCAAAAGTTCTAGCCTGCCCCTCTCCAGTAAGCCGTACGCGTTCCTAATATGAGGCTGACCACACGCGAGTGTATCGCAACTTTAAAGCAACCCCTAGTTTCCTATGATTCCAATGATAACATAGCCAAATTAAACGACGTTGAAAAGTATTATCGTGGTCGTGGTGGGGGTATTTGAGATATGGAATCGACACGGATGACAGACAATCTGCAGAGTATGAAATCGGGGGCAACGTGGAAGGAGAACCGTGGTGAGACAATATGAAGTTGGAGAGTGGAGACTATTATATTACTGCAAATAAAGAGAAAGAGAGAGAGGATGTACAAGAGAAGGGGAGAAATAAGTCCTTTTCTGTGAGAGAGAAATGAAGTACTGCGAAGATTTATCTCAGCGCGTGTGTACTGGTGGTGATGGTGAATGGAAAGTGGAAGGTGGAGATGGATCGGTTCGTGTGTGGTTTGTTTCGCCGGGTTTAAACTTTTTTTTGATTAAGCGGTTCTGGACAAGAATGCTCATCCATTCGTTGCCTTCACCGTACCGTACAATGGCGACAAATAGGTAGCTAGGAGGTAGGTAGGTAGGTACCCAGGTACTACTCAGCTACGTACTGACTGTATGTGATATTGACTGCACGTAATATTCTACACAGGCAGGACAGGAAGGCGGAGTCAGCGAAATGGAACGTCAACATCACATTCTCACTCATTCCAATATATTTATGTTTAAGATTACATCTTGACACGGAGTACATACTACCAAGATATCTATATCCATAAAAAAAATGGGGTCCTCATGAATCTTATCATCTTCTTGAAATATTACTTGTACTTACTTTACTGTACAGTATCGTCGCCACAATGCCTCACGATCTACCTCTTTTCATACTCGGGTTTCCGCGCCCCTTGTTGTAACGAGAAAGAGGCAAGATTTTCTGTCTGATGTCTTCTATATGTACATATACAATAGACAACACACTGTTACACACCAAGGTGGTTAATGAATGGGCAATGAAATATCGACATTTCTTTCTTTCTTTCTTTCTTTCTTTCTTTCTTTCTTTCTTTCCCTCTTTCTTTCTTCCTTCCTTCTTTGCTTGGTACAATCGAAAAAAGGAGATCTTCTAGTTGGAGAACTTCTGTGTATCTACCTGAGGCGAGCCCAACGTACTTTGAAAAATATCTATGATATCTATGATGATTTTCATGGTAAATCATCATAACCTGAATTTGCCATCTCAAATGACTCGATTTTTAAGTAAGTAAGTAAGGTTATGTAGAAATCCGCACGATAAAACCTTACAACACGTGCCGAGCCCGCCACAAGAGGGATTATACGACACTGAGTATTCCCCTACCTAGGGATGTAAGCTTACAAGTACACAACAAACGCATTCCCCTCCGTCTTCAGGTCATGAGGTCTGTCTGTAAGTGCTTCATATATTACCAAATGGATAATCCAATAGCTATAAAGGTAGATGGACATTGAATGGTTGATATTGATGTGGCTCTCAGCCAGAAATCGTTTCATTACAAATGTTCGGCCTCCACAGAAGGAGCCCCAGAGGGCCAGGGAGTATCCATTAAGCTGATGTATCAATCGATCTAATGATACCATGAGCGTCGAGCCGTTAAAGTTTCATATGTCGAAGTAAAAGGCTGGTATGGATTATTGTGAATTCTGCCGAGAGTCGTTCAAAGGCACCGGGTAGATGAGGGGAACTCATTGGATTCTACAAGTGCTAGAATGAGAGATTCCCAAAACAATATCAAATGGAAGAGAAGTTGACGAACCGAACGAGATTATACTCGAGAAAAGTGGCAAGATGATTCAGATAGTTCGCATGACATTCCAAGACCAAGTGTTGTATGTTGGCTGTGGGAAAATGAATCTCTGGATGAATTATTTGGAAATGCAAGCTATCATTTAGAATTTGAAGAACTCATAGGTCCCCAAAAATGAAAGGTGGCCGCATATCTACTCTGCCAGTAGGTGAAAGGTATGAAACATGGAACTGTTTAAGTTGATTTGATAGAAGCAAAGGATTGACTATGTTAAGATTCATTTGCTGACTGATTCTTGGGCATAACTACCTATTGATTTTGTCGCCATCGACCATGGTTATCAAGGTCAGAGATTGATACCGTGTTACAGTATACACTTCACGAGTCTCTAAGTAGCAATCTGTATACTAGGCAGGTAGTAAGTATTTGGAAGATTTGGAAGAATCTCAGCAAATTGATGAGATATGAGGATTCATTTCTTGTCACTCCGATTCCTCAAATATCTACCAGGAGTAATTGGACTGGACTGGGTAACACTCAGTTCATCTCAGATTCTGGTTACCATTTGGGGTGAGGGTCGAGAGGGAGGTCGAAAAGAGTGAGGGGCGCGCGCCTTCCCTTTCCGTCTACATGTAACTTCCTATCATCATATACTACCTAGTACCTACCTACCTGCTTCTCGTCTCATTTCCTTAGTCATTCTCTTCTCCGTTAACTTCACTCAAACCCTTTCACTTTCACTTTCAATCAATTATTTCCATCCTCATTCATCCAAACGTTGAATTGAATATCATCTTTGATTGAATTCCCTATCATCGTATATTATCTTTCCCGTACAAAGTATCAATCCACAGTTACCTAGTATCCACTCATTTACTCGGCACAATTCTCTTCTTACTCATCGCCTTGAATTCCATTTTCCTAGCTTTTCGTGAGGGGATCCTAGGCTTCAGCAAGGCCCAGAGCTTCAACGAACGGCTGGATTGTGATTGATTGAAAGTTGAATTACACCTTCAACTTGTCTTTTGTACAACTCTCTCCATCCTTAATTCTCCAGAAATCGTCCATATCAGTGCGCTTCATCATGCCACCAAAGCTAATCCCACATCCCGATCGTCCTGTCCGTGTCAAACCAGTGGTAAAACCACAAACGAAGACGAAGCAGAAGGGCAAGGGCAAGGCGAAGGCTCCTGTGGAAGCTCCTAAAACAGTACAAGAACTTATACTCAACCAACAACAAAGTTTCGAGTTGGTTAAGATTGGTGTCAATGCTGCTGTGTGTATCTTGGGCTCCTTTTACTTCTGTGTCCGCTAATCGATGCTTCTCAGGTCAGCCAGTTTGTCTTTGGTAGGAAATTCTTTCCGAGTAATTGCTACAAGACCCGAATCTACAATGCATCCGATCCAAACCTTACCTACGAAACTTTTATCAACGGAACAAACATCCCTAGGAACTTCAACTTGAATGAAGCTGGTGATGAAATTGTTTCCTTCAATTCCGTTGTGCGAGGAACGGGCCACCCTGGCGCAGAAAAACTTCTCGATTGGCTGGTATGTTGCCATATTCTAGTCTCTTGTGTAGTGGTTAACTAATCCATAATCAGGAGTTCGGAGTTGGAGATGCTGTAAACGATAAATGTTTGGCAAAATTCCAACTTTCTGTTTATCGAAAAGAAGTCGTCCCTGAACAGCTCGTTGAAGCATTCACCATAAATTTTACTTACAAAGATGTTGAAAAGAACCCCTATGTTCAAATTTCTGCTTCTTTGTCGAACAGGAATGGAAATACCATCAATTTAGGATTGGCACAGGAGGGACTAAGGGACTTGATTCGACAAGTTATGAATAGTTCTCGAAATGTTCAAGGCCAATCGGGTGAGTTCATACCATCAAGTATTACTTTACATCCACTGAATATAAATACAGTTGGACGCAAAGTGAGTATGCAATTGCTGTACAATGACAATGCGCGCCCTAAGCATGAATATCGAGGATTCCGTGCTGCCTCGACATCTCAGATACTTCCTGATGGTTGCGGAATTCTTATGGGTCAAACAAGCAACGGTATTCATGGGTATAACATTGCGATATCCATGACTCTATCACCGTTCTAACTTTTATAGACTTGAGATAAAGTACTATGATGCCCCAGTCATCGATAGCCACTTTTCAAAAGCAACAGCATTGAATGATGCGACGGTAGCCTCTAATCGAAAACTTTTCGCAGCGGTCAGAGGTCTCAAATCCACAGCACCACTGGCAAATGTGATTATCGATGACAATAGTCAGTCTTCCTTGCGACATAGTCAATTATCACAGAGCGTTGATACGCAGCAGAGCACAATGCAATGGATCAATCAGATTGTAGGTTATTGCCGGTACATATAATGTTTTGTTTGGTCAATGTACTAATTCGACTACGAATTAAGGGACACGGAAAAGGATCTGGCGACACGGACACACAACCGATACCCGCCTGCCCGCCAACCACCTTTGGAAAGCATACGTCATTTCATGAATCAGAAGAGCTCAATGGCAAAAGAGTTGGAGAAGTGTCGGAAGAAGAGGAGGAGGAGGAGGTACGGTGCCAGTGTCTTAATTATGATGACCGTGAGAATTTGGTATGACAGCCTCCATCTTCGTTTGCACACTCTAATTTGAAGAAAGATTCAATGTGAAAAGTGTAGAAACTTTTGCCACAGTCAGTGCTATGGCTATAGCAGGGGAAGTGTCAGCGCGGATTTCGAGTGCTATGAGTGCCTTTTAGAAGAGTCGGAACCAGAGATTCTTTTTCAGAAGATGTACCCCCTATGTGGCCGCAGACGCATGGTGTATTATCTTGAACAGAATGGTTTCAATGATATGGAAGGTCTTTGCCAGTACATGAGTAGGTTTGCTTCAACGAACATTCTTACAGCACTAATCACGATTCTAGATTGGAACTTGGAAAAGACGCAGGGAGAATTTGAGTCTTTGAAAACCGAAGGTATCATTAAGAAATGTCCAAAGTCTTCTAAGGAGCCATTTCGATTCTCCGACCTCAAGAAGCTTCGAATGGAATTGTTTGATCCATCTAAACACATTTCTCATACCAAACCTGTGGGTTCTTCTTCGTCCTAGCGAATGAAAAGTTCTAATGCATTACAGTTTGCTACAGCAGTTCCAAAACCCGATTTGACCCATAAATCCTTAGACCAGACCCAACTTACACCAGTTGCTCGTCGTCTTCGTCAACCTGACGGTTCAATCAGAAGTGGCTTGCGAAGTGAAGGAAGCAGTACTCAGACCCCAAGTTCATGGAGAAGCTTGCATAACGAGACGTTGCGAAGATCACCAAGAAGACCTGCTCAAACAACCCCTCAACAACCCAACAAACGTACTGGTGATGAAGGATTGGATAGTGCTCGCAAGAGAATGCGATGTGCTCTATCAGCGACTAGTCCCTTCAGTCTCAGATCAAATAGTTCACATTAGTTTGCTACCGAGAAGTCGGGCAGAAAGATAGGCACAATATTCATATTGGCTGATGCTCGTGATGATGTTTCGGGAGAGTATGAAATGTTTTATTATTGATTGATAGTTCTTTGCTAGCTTGAGCACTATTTCATGTAGATTAGCTTTGCATTCGGTCATCACAACATAAATCAGTTTCTTATCTGTAATCCTATACGTATACAAGAAAATAATTCCTGTACATTTTATCTCATCCGACTTTGTTGAGATTTCATACATAATGACATGTTTATGTAGGTTGTACTTGTGATTCTAATTCATCTTGTAACAAACATTTTTGACTAAGCTAAGTGTAGTGATTTGTTAGGAGGTAATGGAGGTTGGGTATATATTTGTAACGTGTGCAACATATGGTTGCTTGTTGTCGTGAAACGAATGAGGTTTCAAGTGTCGGACTAGGAAGGGCACGTAGGTCAATCACGAAATTGAAGAGTGCGAGACGCAATAGGAAGTTATGAAGAGATACCATACTAATGATGAGATAGCCTCAGATAGGGTGATATAGGACGAGATGGAGAGAAATTTTAGTATGATGTTATGATTCATGGAAGATCAGATGTTATGATGTTATGATGTTATCAGTCGATCAGGATCTAGGTGGTTTCTGGTACCTGAATTAGTGTTGGGTGCAAGTGGAATGAAGCGTGGGAAACATGTGGGAAAGAGTTTTAGTGCTCGTGCTAGTGCTGGTGTTCGGAGTCGGTGTTCGCCGTTTAGAGTTTAGGGTCTGGATGGGATTGGAAAAAGAAGGAAGAATTGGTGAATGGCAAAAATGGAAAAGATGTACAGAATATGGATTTTCAGGGTACTGTTTTTAGAAATTGAAAAGGAAAAAAAAGTAATTACCTAGCATATACTAGGTAGGTGCGTGATCGAGCAGTTTGTGATGGGGAAAAAAGCAATATTGATCTCCTGTGACGGCAGATCAAAATGACGGGCAGGAGTTCTGCTTGTCATTCGCTTTCTTGCTTGCTTGCTGGATTACTTTCTTTTTCCTTCTCTTGAACCGTCAGGTTGGAAAAGAAAAGAGTGGGAATAGGTGCGAGCGTCACAGCGTGGAATGATTGGAATGTGTGAAATGCTTCTGGTGTGTTTTGAAGGGATGGACCTTGGATATGGATGGGTTTAGGCTGAGACTATTTGAAATGCTATGAACGCATTTTTGATGGATTTAGCTTTGGGCGTTTTCTCTCTTCTTTTGGGGTTTAGTCTTTGGATCACTGGTGGATGTGCAAGTAGTTTGTTGGTGTTGGTGTGTTCTAGTGTTCGTAGACAGGCTCGGTAGATAGGTTTTTGATAGACTGTAGATCAAGCTGGGTGAGAAGGGTTGAGAGTCCCAATTCAAGGGATCAATGTTGCCTGTAAAAGAGGCTCGTGACTTGTGATGTGATTTGGCGTGATAGAAAATAGAGTCAAAGAGGGTTCGCGCTGTGATACCTATCTTGAGGATTGGAAGGAAGGAGATCACAATTCGTCGTATACGTCTCTTTCTTACCATGTGAGACTTTTCGGATGGAGTGAGTGACAGGGGTGAGAAAGGGGGTGGTTCTTGAGCTGTATTCACGTACGATTCACCTGGCTACTAATACTGGTACCTCGTACTATATTACTGTACGTGCAGTGAGGGTACATATATGTTTGCGGGGAACTCTTTAATCTCGAGACCTTGAGATTGGAATTGGGGATCGGATGCAATAGGCTTGGGGGTATGTTGGGGGATGTGCACTCCCTGATTCACACACACATGCACACGTGCACACTAGGGGAATGGGAAAAGGGAAATGGGGATTCTTCACATCTCTATCTGCACATTGGATGTAGACTCGATTGTAGCCTACGGTAAAATATAGTGCGAAATGGTGACTTGGCGAGGAGTTGATACTATAGGTAGATGGACAGGAATTGATTTATTTGAGTTGTCGAATCAAGACTTCTTGATGGGATACGATTGATTGATTGATTGATTGATTGATTGATTGATTGAGTGATTGAGTGATGGATGGATGGATGAAATGAGGATGAAGGGATGAAGTTAGATAGATCAATAGTTTTGATGGATTATTTTAGATCAGATGAATTCGTTTAATTTTAGAGTTGAGAATCACAGTCAGTTCAGGATCGTTTGTGGCGGCGAAGGAAGGCGAAAACACTGAATCGTGCCAATGGATCTGTGATAAAAGAAAGTAGTGGGCAATAGTAAATACAGATTATAATTGCAGTATATTACTTTTGTTAATGGAGTGATATCTTCTTTTGAAGTTTTACATGGTTTCATCTTTTTGAATGGGATGGATGGGATTTACCCCTTCATGAATCATGGTGTTAACGAGATCTCATCAATGATACTGTAGTACCCGACGCGATACAGAGTACATGCTTCGTACAACATGAGATGGCATAGGGAAGTAGAAAGTCCCATCAATCTGCGTGAAGCAGTCAGTACCAAGATAGAATTCGTACTACATGTAACATAATATACGTAACCATCCAAGTCGAACACTCTCCAATCCAATTCCCAGCCACGTCTTCCTCCTACTCCGTATATGTAGTTTTACCTCTGTGGTTTATTTGGCCAGATAGGCTCATGAGAAAATCTTCATGCATTCCTAGATGTCACCTATACCACTTCCGTGGTCTAAAGCGGACGGGCCGTCAAGTCCACCATCCAACAGATCTCAACATGTGAAGCATAATCTTTATAATCTTTAAGAGTTTCCGGCATCCAAATTCTCATCAATCACCTACCAGGTAGTCCTCCGTCCGGCGTACATGTTCGTTCAGAGGTGGATTCATACCAAACTTTCTACCCTCGCAGCAGACCAGATGATTCGACTGTTTTGAGAATTTAAACCACATAGCATCAATGATCATGTACAATCCCAGCAATCCCAGTCTTTTTGAATCGTCAACTATGGAGTCCTCTCCGTACTTGGTACTTTAATCCCTTAGACTTGGGAGCCACTGGGAGCTTGGTAAGGATTTATCCTGGTAAATGGTTCCTCAATTATCGCGCAGGGTCCATTCCATATTGATCAAGGATGGGCCTTTATGGAGATTACGATTTGACACGACCAAATTCAATTTCATCCTACTAACCCGTAAGTTGTAACATCCATCTTCCTAGATACTTTTTTTTATTGTAATGAAATAATGAAATTTCCGAGAAAGACTAGGAATCTTTTCTCTTTTGTTTTGTTATCTGTTTCCTTGCATTTCTGAACTTTAGACCATTGCATCCATCTCAAGCGGTGTCGAATGTTATCCATCTCTTTCACATCTTTCTTCAACGACTTCATGATAAATATATAGCGAGCGAGGACTTTAGATTGTAAGCCTTGTCAGCAATCGCATCCCATCACATCACAGACACACACACATACATTTATATATATACAATATATACACACCGACTGTATAACGAACCCTGGTATCAAGCTTGCTTAGCGGAATTCAAAGCCCCTCCCAATTAATTCACGATCCAAAGCCACGATGCTCATTGAAAAACGGTAACGGCGGTTCAATTTGATAACAGCACAGCGCCTGCATGTGCGCTGCACACGCAATTGGGATATTTCTGGAATTTAACTACCTAGTACATATAGCTTAGGCCTTGGAGCTTGACAAGAGATACCGAGGTCGACCATCTCTACGAATACATAACACCTACCTACCAGCCATTTTCCGATCCATTGAAGCTTCATCAACATGGGACGAACTTCAAAATTCTCATTTCCCATTCCTGGGCGCAAGCGTAGTTCAAGTAGAGAACAAGCATATCAAGTCCCTCCACCACCATCCAAGATATCTTCAGGGAACTTATCAAAAGCCGAACAAATTCTGGGAACTGGTACTATCGAATCTGGGGATTGGAGGAGACCTGGATCTAGGTCGAGTCGAATTAGTATTTCTATATCAGAATCAACACATTCGACGGTCCAGGATGGTCATGATTATGATCAATGGGATAGGGAATCGGGCGTTTTTCCTAGGCAAACAAATTTGAGAGGACAGGCTTCATCGAATGCATTGGGTCAGCGTTTTGGAGAAGATATGGCTACGGAAACTTCTAGTACAACACATCGATTGAGAAATGAAAATTCTACATCTACCTTGAAATCATATTATGATCGACAAAAGTTACCGGCTGCGATATCACAACAAACTTCTGCATCATCTGCACGAGATATGGCCCTTCGAAAAGGGCTTACACCAGTTGTTAGTAGGAGTCCGCTTTTACATGTCGATTCCGTGGATCCTTGGGATCAAGCCGGTCAAAGTCTATCGAGTGTGAATGATAATCATTTGGGATCACCGGAACGAAAGAAGTCAGTGAGGGCGGGTATATCTTCGTTGTTTCATCGGTCAGAAAGAAGACCTTCGGCAGCATCACAAAACTCCTACGATTCTTCCAAGCAAAGTATCTCACTTCGAAATAGACTTGTCAAAGCCGCTTCGAAAGAATCATTACAATCACAAAGGCACAATATTCTATCAACAAAGTCCAGGGACCAAAGGGAACAGAAACAAAATTATGCTAACCCTGACGACTCACATGATTACTATGAACAATCAACCAGAAATGCTCATATGAAGGCCATACCGGAATCGAACGTCCCGGAAACCTTTAATCTATTCCCCAGCACGTCAGAGAATAGTAATAGTCGTCAACCAGGGTCACTAAATTCAGAAAAACGGGAAGGACATCGAAGATTGGAAGATTTACATTCTAGCTCTGGAGAAAAGGAAGCATTTTCGTGGAAGAACGTACGTTCGAATAAGAATGGAAATTTCCGCAGCAGTATGATTTCTCAGAGCACAGGTCATTCTAGCTTGGGTATATCCAGTACCGGAAGCATATCCAGTCATAACACCAAAACATCAAGACAAACCGGGGGAAGTGTCTTCTCGAGTGCGGATCTACAACAAAGCAGTGTATTGTCATTATCATCTGATTCGGAAGA